AGATTGCCAATGTCTTTATGAGTCACTTTAGGGCAGTTTACAAGCAACATAGTTTTCAAGGCACCAAGGCGAGGCTAGGCAACTGGGGGGCGCCTTGTCGCCTAGTCGCCTAGGCAATGGATTTTTTATGCTAAAACATAGATCCTAGGGTAGTTCCCTAGGTACCATAACCATATTTTTTTAATAATTGTTCATGATTTTCATAAGAAAAGTATAATTTCATATTAAAGTATAGAAAATCAACAGATTCATGAGATGAAAAGGAAGAAGGAAAATAAAATTCAAAAAATATAGGGGCTGAACCCTTATTTTTGTTATAGGAAAAGAAGAAATAGTAGTAGTAGTAGTAGCAGAAGAAGAAGAAGAAGTAGAAGAGGAAAATGTGCTGATTAGATAAAATTTTAAGTTCATCCTTACTTATTGGTTCAGGTTTAAGTCTTTGAGGGTTCAATACAGCATTTAGCAATGTTTGTGTTGATTAAACCCTAATAAATAAGAAATTAGTATATAAACACAAAATGATTATTTTAGTTTAATAATGTCTATTTTATAATTATAATCTCAAAAAACAATGAATAAAGAAGTATTTTATAGTAGGAAGTAGAAAACTGCTTGGTGATTAGGCGAGGCGAGCCTCAAAGGGAACCTTGTCACCTAGGCGCCTGCCTAGGCATTGCCTTGACAACTGGGCAAGCAACAAGAAAATGTAGGGTTTAGAGTGGAAGGGTTGGTGTGGCCAAGTTTGAACCCTGCTTTGGCAAGTTGGACGGATGGGAACTTTAAGTTGGAAGAGATAAGAAGGGGGCTGTATTCTTTATGGACAGGTTGAAGGCACCAGGACCAAACAATTTTACTATGGCCTTCTATCAAGATTGTTGGGACATTGTCAAATCAGACTTGTGGGCAGTTTTTGAGGAATTTGCAGAGGAACATTTTATCAGCCCAGGGATTAACTCCACCTTTCTGGCCTTGATACCTAAAAAGGGAGATGCAATCCAACCGAGAGATTTTAGACCCATCAGCTTAGTGACTAGTATTTATAAGATCTTGGCTAAAGTTTGATCTTTGAGGTTGAAACAGGCTCTACCCAATCTAATTATCCAATCACAAGGAGCATTCGTTCAAAGGAGACAAATCACAAATCAAATTCTAATTGCAAATGAATGTGTGGAGGACTTTAAGAGAAGGGGAGAGAAAGGTTTCGTGTGCAAATTGGATTTGGAGAAAGCTTATGATTTGGTAGACTGACCCTTCTTGCTGGATTCTCTGAGAAGTTATGGATTTGAAGAGAGGTGGTGTGGTTGGATTGAAGGTTGCTTGAAAACTTGCCATTACTCGATTATAGTTAATGGAGCTGTTAGGGATTTCTTCCTAGCCTCTAGAAGCCTGAGACAAGGGGACCCCCCTTTCTCCCTTCCTCTTTACTTTGATAGCAGATGTGTTTAGTATGCTGATCTCGACAGCAGATAGACTAGGTTTCATCAGAGGTTGGAAGATAGGTAGAGAGGGTACAGTGGTAACACATTTGTAGTTTACAGATGACACGATCATTTTTTGTGAGATTGGAGATCCACAAAAGGCAAGAAATTTGAAACGAGTGATAAAGCTGTTCAAATGTGTTTCAAAGTTGAAAATCAATTTTGGAAAGAGTTGTGTGGTGGGATTGAACCTGGATCAAGAGGAGCTGAGCTGAGTAGCATAATCCTTGGGTTGCCCTACCTCTAGCTGGCCTTTGATTTACTTGGGAATGCCATTAGGAGATAATCCAAGGGAAGGTAGATTCTAGAACCTGATAGTTGAGAAAATGAGAAGTGTACAAAGAAGTTGGCAGTGTGGAAGAGAAATTACATCTCCCTTGGAGGTCGTATCACCTTAATAAAGTTTGTGTTAGCAAATCTCCCAGTCTACTTCCTCTCGGTCTTTAGAATGCCCCAAAGGGAGGTTTTAAATGTAGAGAAACTTATGAGGGATTTCTTGTGGGAGCTAGGGGAAGGAAGGAAGGATCATCTGGTTAGGTGGGAACTAGTTTGTAGAAGTAAGGAGCAAAGGTATTTGGGTCTAGGTAATTTAAGGAAGAAGAACACAACACTACTAGGTAAATGGCTGTGGAGGTGGCCTCTAGAGAGCGAAAGACTTTGGCACAAAGTGGTAAGAAGTGTTCATGGTGCGACAGGCAACGGTTGGGATGCTGGTGTATCTCAACAGGCTACGCTCTGTTGTTAGATTTAAGTTTTTTATTTCAGCTGTTAGAATGTTGTCAGCCTAAGCTGCTGTCAAGTTGGGCTTGCTGATGTTCTCACAAAACTTGCTGTTAAAACTTGCTGATGTTCTCACAAAAGGACTTCCACACCTGCGGCACAGTGAGTTATGTGACAAGTTGGGCTTGATAGATATATACAACCCAACTTGAGGGGGAGTGTTGTTAGATTTAAGTTTTTTATTTCTGTTGTTAGAATGTTGTCAGCCTAGGCTGCTGTCAACATGTTCTTTTCTTTATTTTTAGGGTGTGCCGCCGGGGACCTACTTGTAATTTCTTCATTCTTTATTTTGTTATAACACATTAAGATAAAATAGATGTTGGGTGCTGCCAGCAATATACTTTTGACTCTCACATATTTTTTTCCTCCTCTTCTCTTCTCCTTTCTTCTCTCCTCTCTCTTCTTCCTCTTTTCTTGTAAGGCTACACGCTCAATTCCCCTTGGAAGTCTATTCATAGTATTCTTCCTCTTTTCTGATCAAGTATGATGCTGGTACTGGAGATAAGGTTTTGTTTTGGGAGGACATTTGGGTTGGATACTCTACCCTTAAGGACCTCTTTTCCTTCTTTGTATTCCCTTTCTTGTTTTAAAAAGAGCCAATTCAGAGGCTTGCTTCCTTCTCTGCTTCCTCCCGTCTAGACTGGAATTTGGGCTTTAGGAGAGATTTAAGGGATTTTAAGCTTGACCAGGCTGCTTTGCTCCTTAAAATTCTTGAACCTATTTGTTTGGACCCCTCCTCTCCTGATAGCCGCATTTGGGTGCCTTCTCTTGTGCCTCTTTTTTCTCGTCTCTATGTTCAAATCCTAATCCTCAACCTTTTCATAGCAAGGAGGTTTGCTCTAAGCCTATCCCTCCCAAAGTGGGAGCCCTCTATTGGGAAGTGTCTCTTGGAAAAATAAACACTTTGGATGTCTTGAAAAAAAGGAAGCCGGGTCTCTACATATCCCCTTACTGGTATACCCTTTGCAAAGCAAATGAAGAGAGTTGTTACCATTTACTAATCTCTTGTCCTTTCGTTGTAGGTCTATGGGAGAAGCTTTTTAATCTTTTTGGGTGTAGGTGGACAGAAGCAAGGCAGATTAGCAATCTCTTTGACCCCACAACCTTTAGGTGGCCAAAGAAAAGAGGTAGAGTCTTGTGGAGGTGTGCGAGAGCTGCTTTGGTGTGGACTGTTTGGAAGGAAAGAAATGCCAGAATTTTCAATGATAAGGAGAAGGATGAGATTAGTATATGGGAAAGTATCCTATATAAGGCCATAAGTTGGGCAAAGCCATTGGACCTGTTTCAACCTTTCTCCTTTGTTGATTTCTGGAGGAATTGGGAGCAAATTGCCAAAAGTTCTGCTGTAAGACTTACACCTGTGGTGGAGTGGAAGCCTCCTGGAGAAGGAGCCATCAAATTAAATTTTGATGGCAGCAGCCTAGGTAACCCAGGGCTGTCCGGAATTGGGGGAGTCTCCAAAAATGCTGAGGGCCAGATCATAGCCTTATATTCTAGTCCTATTGGTGTGAGAGATCCAGTTAATGAAGAAGTCCAAGCTGCTCAAAAAGGAGCAGAGCTTGCTAAGGAGATGAGGTTGGAACACTTAATCATTGAAGGAGACTCTAAACTGGTTATTGGGTGGATAAAAGAGTCAGAGACTGCAGCCTGGTTCTACAGAGTGTCTTTGAGAAAATTCAGATGGCTAACTTCAAACATATCAGTCACAACTCAATGGGAAAGAAGATCGGCAAATGGATTGGCAGATTCTTTAGCTAAACAAGGGGTACATAGGAATCAGATTTTTTGGGCTCAATTGTAAGCTTGTTGATACAGTTTAGAGGCGGCACCTCACGCCTCTTTGTGGGATCTTGTAATATGTATTATTTGCGATCTTTTTAATAAAATCTTTATTATCTATCAAAAAAAAGAAATTATAAAAGGATAAACTCTTTTAAACAATTATATCACTATAAAGTGATAAAAATGATGCTTTTGAAATGATTATACCATTTCAATATAGCATCTTCCTCTACTTAAAAATAAACATAGGAGTTTAAAAAATTATTACATTGTAATTTGACACTAAATGTTCATTGGGAGAGGTCAGCTAATGGGTTGGCTGATGTGCTAGCTAAGCAAGGGGTCAATAGGGATTAGTTATAATGGGCTCAATTGTAACTCCTTTATCAGTTTTGTGTCTATTTTGAGAGGTTAAACTCTCACCTCTCATGAGTTGTTTGTATTGCCGAACACATTGACTTCTCTAACAAAATTGAATTTACTTGTCAAAAAAAATATAATATAGTACAGAACATTGATGTTTTAGTTATAAACATTATTTTACTATGTTTGTTTAGTATTAAAGTTATGATTTAAAATGAATATGCTTCTTATGATAATATATTGTTTATCCCTCATAAGAGTTTGTAATCTTAAAAGATCAATTGCAGATTAAAAAAACATTAAAACATCAACCATATTTTATTAACATATATATATATATATAATTAAAAATATTCCATGAAGGAAATAAGAAGAGAAGAGTCATCTATAATGATAAAGCTTGAAAAATAATGAGTTTTAAGAGAACATCATCATCATCACCATCCATGCCTTATCCCAACTATATGGGATAAGAGTACAAACCATATTAAAACAAATATTTAGATAATATCTATGTACATATAAAATGAAAAACTTATATTGATACGATTAGCAAAATAAAACTTGATGAGAATAATATAAAACATTTTAACACACCAAGGAATATGTCAAGATAAAAAGGGCAGCCCAGTGCACGAGACTCCCGCCAATGCAGGATATATTCCAAGAGGGACAGATGTACACAGCCTTACCCCTGCACATACAGAGAGGCTGCTTTCAAGATATATTCCAGTAACACATCATTTTAGTACCCATGGAAATGGAAATACATCAAAGGAAATATTGGTAAATATGAAGACATTTTAATATATGATCATTTCATACTTAAATGAACAAGTAAGAGATCAAATGAACGACGCTTAGTCAAAGTTCATATTTTTTAAGGAACTTGTTTGTCAAAATCAAGAACTGAAAAACAGAAGAAAAGAAGGATAACTAGCACAAGTTAAAAGTCACGGGATGCTAGTTGATTATGAAGATAAGTCTTTATATACCACAAATGTTCACCATATTTGCTCAGTGCTCACTTAGTAGATAACATAAGGAGGTGCCATTCTAAAACCTTAATAAGATTATCTATTAAACAAAGGGAAGATCGTGTAGAATTATACAAGGGAAGCAGTTCTAAGTATAGCTAGGGAGGAGATAAATGCAAGAATGTTCAAATAAGAAACCTCTATTAAAGAAGCATGAATTGAGAACATTCTGGCAAAGGTTGCTCATCGGATTATCTTTGAGAGTTTTTTACCCTTTTTTATCTACCAATGACAATTAGAGGATGGCAAATTGCATCCTCATCATCTGCAATGAAGCATTGCATCCATCAATTGATCCCCTCCAGCTTCAAGTTTCACAAATTAAACTTGATAGATGCAGTTTGGGCAATCTGGGTAAGTCAAACACCAACGGAGTCTTTAGAAATGGCCATGGTGCTATCTTAGCTACTTTTCTGGACCTATTGGTCAAGGTGATTCAGCCAGAGCTAAACTGTAGTAGTACTTCAAAGCTTGAGATTGAGAAGCTCTCTTAATCACAGAGATACCATGATGAAAGGCGATTCTCAGGTAATATAGGATGGCTCAAAAACAAAAGTCCAAGATCATGGTAGTATAGACATATTGAAAGAAGAGAGATACTTGGCTAGGGAACTGAGGACATCCTTCACATGGACCTAGAGATCAGAAAATAGATCAGCTGATGCATTGAGCAGATAAGGATAAACAGAAATCAATGTATTGGGGACTTGTTCCCCCCTAGACATATTGAAAGAAGAGAGATACTTGGCTAGGGAACTGAGGACATCCTTCACATGGACCTAGAGATCAGAAAATAGATCAGCTGATGCATTGAGCAGATAAGGATAAACAGAAATCAATGTATTGGGGACTTGTCCCCCCCCCCTCCCTCCCCCAAGGATCTAAATGTTAAATGTAAGCAAAATGCTTGGGAAAAACCAATGGGTTAGGTAGCAGGGGCTAGCCTAAATTTTAAAAGGGGTGTTTGACACACTGCACACTTTCCACCACGTATCTTGTTCCCAAGAAATCGAGCTTAGCCAAACACTACCATGCATTCTAAACTTAAGATCATTCAATCAGGGGCATTTGTTAACGTAAAACCTTTTAACGGCACCTATCAAGTGCGTGGATTTTCACATGCAAGCATGACAATAGTAGACCTCCAAACAATTGAACCTCATGCCATATTTACATAATTACTCACCACTGCTAAATCAAAAACTACACAAGAGAATGATAAATGGAAACTCAGGTATCAGGTGAAGATTTTCTTTCTTTTTTTTTTTTTTTGAAAATAAGGTCAAAACGAGTTTTCACCCTAGACCTATCGTGATCGAAGAGAAATACGAATGTCCAGAAATTTCTAATAATATTATTAATGCCGATGATTAATATTGTAGATTAACAAAGATTTTCTGGATAAGTTACGAGATTTTATACGTTGCTATTAACATGTTATTACGGGGTATTATTCACCGTAGTTTAGGAAAAGCAATAAAGACCAACAAAAAATACGAAATTTAAGAAAGAGGGGGTGAGGGCAGAGGGGTACGGATTCTTCGGGTACACGTCAGTTCGGGATTCGCGTGGCGCGACTAGCTAGGAGCATCGGACGGTGTGGACTCAACGAATAACGTTTCTCTGTACGTTCTCCCGTCCTCAGGAGACGATAACACAACCAACCTAAGTCCGAGCAAAGCATTCTCAGTACAGTTTTGAAGTGAATCTAACGTTCGCCGGAGGGGATCTAAACAAATAGCCAAATAGCTAAATAATTGCGGACATCCGGTTAGCTCCTCCTCTCCCAAAGTTTCCAGCCTGGACAAAAATTTGGAGGATAAGAACCGCTTCTCACCCAGGGGGACTAAACTTTGCCTAAGCTCCCTATTTTTTCCCTAACATTGAATGAACAGAACAGAATGGCGAATTCATGAAGCCGACCCCATATAGCTGGGACAGGGCGATGATGAAGATGATCTTGCTAAAGAAAATTAAAAACAGAAAAGTTGCATTATCATAGCTTCACCAACCTGAGACCAAAAAAAAAAAATGGCGTCGCCCAGAGTCGGAGAGGAAGGAGAAGCTTCACCTGGGACAAAAATGGCTTGCAATGGATCCTCAGCGAAAAGGAAGACGAAGCTTTAGGGTTTTCTGTAAATCCGTCCTGAAATTCAAAAGAAAATCACAGCAAGTCTGTAAAATCTCTCTTCGATCATATCATTGAAGCATACTATTAAGAAATGGATGAAATGAATCTACTTTTACAAGGTAATGGAAAATTATATATTTGGAAAGAACCAAAGAATTTATTTTTCAAAAATCAGAAGAAAAAAAAAAAAACAGTGAATAAAAAATGAAAACCTACCGGATTCCAAGTGACAAAGATCACTTTACATAGCTGAAGCCGAAAGTCATTCGCAAGAAAGTGAACCCCTAAGAAGTAAACACTAATCTCGACTTATATAGCGTATAACGGTAATCGAAAGGACAACAACAACAACAATCTTATAAAATGACTATTTTACCCTCCGAAGCTCAATTATTTAGGCTTATTTTTCCGGTATCATGCAAGTAAGATCGGCATTCAGAGCAAAATCCGTTCGAATATGTTCGAATAGCCTTTATAGTTTTGCATCGGTACTTTTATACTTTATTTGATGGAGAAATATTTTCAATTAATGGCTGTACGAATTGACTTTGCTCTGACTGAATCCTGTTTCCATGCTCGCTGGGACTCGTATTAGAACAAATAATGAAACTGTTTTCTCTTTACCCAAAAAGAAAGAATCGTATTATTTATCTATTCTGCCTAACAAAAAAAGAATCTTTTATCTATGTTGGGTGTAATTAAATTTAAGGGCCCGAACTTTCACTTCAAGAATAAAAGGCATTTTGTACTCAAAATCAAAACCTTTATTACCTTATCATTCGGTCAGTTACAAGTGGGAAGAAGATTTGTACGTGATGTTATATATGTTATTTGTGATACCGAAAAGATATGATATCCGAAGATATTTGATCAATCAAAAATACGATCTGATGATGCCAACTGATTGGTTGTAAGTGTTTTTGATATCATAATCAAATTCATGTTTTAAACATTTTCAAAAACCCTTAACAGTATTCATTCAATTAATTCATACGAGTCCAGATTGACGCCCCTACGTGCATATCTCACTGTGCATTGATAATTTGAGAATACACTGTTGGGATGTGCTGTGGGACACCGATGTGAATTTAATTCATACTCTTCATTTTTGGCATCCTGCAACCACAACAGTGGTCATCTCTCTCTCCTCTACTTTTCTTCTCTGTTTCATATTTTGCAGCAGAACTGGTGAAAACTCGTACTCTAATACAACTATCAGCACCAGCAGTTCTCTCTTCTTTTTTTAGTTACTAGTAGAATGGACCATACAATGCACGGAGTATTTGAACCAATGGTTGATTAACCACCAAAAGCATTGGGGTCCTGATTCAGCCCAACACCTCAATGTATCAAGTTGGTCAGGAAATCTCTGTTTGGTTCGTTTGAGGAATTGTTATTGTCTAATTGATTGTCACCTGGCAAACTCAAGTTAATATCTATACTTACAACTTAAGAGTTGGTATAGTGTATACTATTCCTCGTAAACAATTGAACCAGTGTTGGCAACTGTGCAAAGTACAATAATAAGCAAATATATATGCGAATAATTCAAATTTTTGATAGGTTAAAGGATAGCATCGGGCAGAGATCAGTATGTGGGTATCTTTTCCAGTTTTCTTAGAAAAGAACTATGCAAGGAAGATTGTGGCTGAAAATGAAATGTAAAATTTTCTTAAGCAATCAATTTGTGCTAAAATAAAAGAGAAGTACTAATAAAGTTCCTACAAAGAATTGACAGTTGATTGGACCTAACATTGAGTAGTTTCATATGGGTTTGGGCATATCTAGTTAGCTTCATTTACATACAGCCTAAGATATCAACTGCTAGTTTGAAAATGATGATATAATCAGAATGAAATATAAATGAAGGTGCAAATATTTTAGACAATATGAATTCATATTGCACAAATTTCAAAAAAGAAATAACCAAATCTTGCTGCAATAGATATAAGAAATAATGGAATATAGTAGAAAATTTATGGGGAGATACAAATAAATAGTTAATTCCTTGGGGAGTCTAAGTTAAGAAAGTTTGTAACCAAAATACAAGGACAACATTAATGTATCATATAAAACAATGTTTTTCAGATATATGTTAAATAGGATAGAATATACCTGGCTTTCTACATGAAATCACTAATATGAAAGTACTTATTCCATACTTTTATTACTTGTATGAGGGTTTCATTGAATTGAAAACAGAACTGGGGCAATAAATCCACCTAGCAAGAAATGTTTCAGATTATTTGGAATTTGTAAAAAAAAGTAAAAAAAAAAAAAACTGATGAATTCCTACAAGGAAATGACAGCTAATTGGACCTAAGATTAAGTAGTTTCAGATGGGTTCGGGTATATCTAGTTAGTTTCATTAATTAACAATAAATGCTAAAATATTTTAATAAATATTCAGAGAGAAAAGTTGTACTCGAATTGACAGAATCAACACTTTAGAGAGGTAAATCTTACTTGGATATAATTGTTGACATGACCATTTTTGTTGGGAATGGTAGAAATGGTTCTCTAAATCTTATCTTACTTGCATATCTTAATAAATAGTTCTCTAAATGCTTCTCTACATAACAGTTTCAATTACTTCATTTTGTTTACCTTTAAATTCTGATAAAAGGTCGGTTTGTTTGAGTTGGAGTTCCAAGAGTAGTTATGTGAGTTAGTAGATGTTGCATTGGAGTGGTGAACAGATATTTGTGTGTTTTTAAAGTGTAACTCACAGCAATTGATCTATTCAACTCTGATGAATAGAAAAGAAGTCTAACTTGCTTACTTTTAAGTGTAGCTCAAAGAACTTATTTTCCTGTTTTATGATAAATAGAAAAGTTGAGGTGCTAATTCCTAGGTTATTTTTATCTTATTTCTATTTTTTCCAGGTCCATCCCACATCAACTATGATTAATAGAAAAGCAGTAAAACATCCTCTACTACTTTTCGCTTGTTCGTTTTTTAGCACAAAAAAAAAAACATTCATCTAGTGGAGAAAAGAAACTTCTGTTTGCCAATGCTAATCAAGGTTCAAAATTTCGATACGATATCGGGCATATCGTATCGTATCTTTGGGGTCCGATACAAGTGTTTCAGGACCCCACTCTTTTTTAATAAAAAATATGCTTAAATATCTTCTCAAAAACCAAATTTTGAAAAAAAAAAAAAAAGATATTTTTGCTTGTATCTAAGTACTGATACGCCTCTGCCGATACATAGAGGCATATCGATACTTTGAACTATGATGCTAATATCAGGTAATATCAAGGTGTCCGCCCAATCGAACATCCCGACATTTGCATTTGCAGGGGTGAGAATGAGACAAAAACACATTTGTTATTTGTCTCCACTCTCATTTCCAATTTCCAGGGGTAATATTGGAATTGTATATCAGAGTGTGTTAGACCATTGTACTTGCCCCACTTTGATGAACAGCATACGGCCTTATGGTAGTTAAATAATGGGAAAACAAAAATTATAGAGGGTAAAAAGGGAAAGTAAAATCAGGTTTTTTGAAGCATCAATTATTACCATCTTTATTTTTTATAAAAAGTAAAAAATGGAAAATTACATTGCACCACACTGCAGAATTCTGAATTCCACTATAATCCTACATAATTCAAAATGATAAACACCTCCACCCTAAAATATCAATACCTGCCCGTGTATTAGCATCAATTCCGAGTTGACACCTATCCCAACTGTACTGTAAAGCTAAGAATTCTAAGTGTATGTTGGTCATTCTCCCAAAAAAACTCTTTTAATAGTAATGTATGTGTCTTCTTACATTCTTTTGCTGTGTATAAAGTGCACGTGCAGTGACATCTACATTCCCATTCCAAATCTTGCACAACACTAGACGGTAGGGTAGATACCTCCAAGACCACAGTTATGGATGAAAATGATAGATGCCAAAAACTAGTTAAACCCTAAATCTGTCTTGTCAAGTTCTCTCATTATAATCTAAATCAAAAACATGAAAGAAGAAATGACCAAAACCATCAAAGTATAAGAAGCTTACAGTTACCTTTAAAAGGTGAAACTTCCATTGCACACGAGAAAGTGTGGCCGTTATCTTCATTTCTCCTCGCTGAGACCCTTCTCAAGAGAAGCTTCTCTGTGCAACTTCAATTATTAAGAAAAAAGGAAAACTTATTAGCAGAAATATAATATATAATCATTTACTCTGCAACCTTTAATCTTTCTTACTTTCCTTTACACCTGCTCCAAATTGAAATTGAAATGATCGTTCACAATCATATCTTCTAGTAAGTAAAGCAACCCTTTTAGATGATAGAATTTTCATGTGAGGCGGCAGTTTCTAAATATCTCAAAATTATAAACATATATTTCTAAAAATCCTCTTGCTCTTTTTTTTTTTAAAGATCAATTACATTCAAGTATAAAATTGAAAGAAACTAACTTAGTTTCACTGAATGGGCCCAAAACTCAATGGATTCATTAATTTTTTTATCTGCAAAATATTTGCTGAAACTAAATGATCACTCGGGATCACGTATAAGGGGATTTCAGAAGAAACGTACAATCAACAAGAACCCAATATATCAGTAATTCTTTCTTACTATAATCCTTAAAGCATCTTCCTAATTGTACGGTTGTACCTATTTTTATACATGTGTTTGTTGTTCTTCCTTCTAATTCTCTATAAATATTTTCAATTTGAAAGGAAGACATAGATGGGAGAGAGTGGAACCCACAAACCCAATCCCTAAATCATGGTTTTAAAAACCGGATCAGACATGGAATCATTTTGGTCATCGGTTCCCATGTCAAGTGGTCTGATCGTCCAATCTGAATGGATGGCTTATTTTGATTTAAAAATAATAAATAAATAAAATGGCAAAAAATTATTGTTTGGGTCAATGGGTTGATAATTCAACCACCTGGATCAATGGGTTGTTGACCAAATCAACGCTTTTTGGCCCAGGAGTGATTTTAGGGTGAAACGGAGGGTCAATTGGTTCAACCATCCGGTCCAATCTGGTTTTCAAAACCATACCCTAAACAAACATACAGTACAGAATTTGATGGAGGAAACTTAGACATACTTCCACATTTTGTTCATTTTTTTCCCCTAAACGTGAGGGTGCTTGGGCCTTTTCTTCCAAACTAAACAAGCCTTTGGTTTTTGGAAAACTATGAATCGAAACAAAACTGAAACCACTTGGTAAATTAGTTGATTGGTTCTGTTTTTATCAATTCAGTTCTTCAATTTTTTAATTTTTTTATATTTATAATATATGGTGTGGGCGAGCCAGGCCCAACCCACTAACGCCTAAC